ACAAGGCTCTTTGGAATCCACTCCTATCATTTTTAACCTTTTCAAAGGAGAGTGATTTTCTATTGCCCTTCTTCACTTCCCACTGGAAAACTTTTCTTCAAGAATTTAAAGAAAAATAAAAAACTAATTGCCTTCTGAGAATTTCATCCCTGACTTCATTTGGTATTACTGGGAATGCTGCCAGATAAAAGAGTTCTGCATGTTGTTGGGAGTCCATCATTTAGCATATTCCCTAATTTGGATGATCTACTATTTGAAAATATATACTTAAAAAACAACAAAGAGGAGGAGGGGAAGCAGAAGGGGAATGAGGAAATGAAGAAGAAGAAGTAGAAGAAACAGCCAGAAAGCTGAGTGAGCTGACAAGTTATGTTAGAATTATTGCAATTAGAGTAAATAAATAAATTTGAATTAAATTATTGTGAGTCTGAAAAGTCATAAGGGGTGAAATTTACTTATAGCAAGATATGCATTTTTCCATATGATAAATGCTGAAAGGGTACACCTTATTATCTGTGCTAGTATACACGTGGTTAATTTTGGAGGACCACATCAAATTTGAGAAAATCTCTTACTTAGTAAGCACATGGAGGGAAGGCCAGGAGCTTAACTCTATTTTATAATGATTAATGCTCTCAATACTAGTTGATTATTTTTTATCCTCTAGCTAAAGCTGACTTTAGGTAAAACTGTATGCTTCCTGAAGACCAAAGTTTTCAGTTCATTTTTGACCCCTTGAAGGCTAACAAAAGTGGCTGACATATATTGGCATTTTTTTGAATCAACATGAAATAAGTTAAAATTTGTCTTGTAGGCTAACCACTCACAGAAAGTGACAGACCTCTGCCTTTATTAGGTATTTCTTGATGTTTGTAATTTACTCCTTTTTTTTCTACAACTCAACATCTTCTACTATCAATCACCGACTTTTTGTACCTTTTCTCTATCAAGAAAACTGAAGTCATTAGGCTCACAGTAGTTCTTTTATTTTGTATTATCTGTCCCCATATCTTATCCCTTATTCCAGTATAGATGTCTCTACTTTTCTTTCCAAAGCTTCTTTATTTGTGCTTTTTGGTGAATCTTTCCAGTAGTTTATTTGAGAACATGGTCAGTTTTCCTGACTAGAGTGGATGGTAAAATTTGGGGCGGGGATTGGTGCCATGTGAAAAAAAACAGATAAACAGGTACCAAAAGGGCCACTTTGGAAGAAAGTACATTCCCTTCCCTGAATTTCATTCCTTAAGTAGGCCAGTGTCAAAAATTTTGGGGATTTCTTCTCTATACTGATTCTTTTTCCTTTGTCATTAATAATTAAGACACACATCTTACTTCAGCATAAAGACATATTTCACTCACTTCTGCTGCCATGTTTCTTCTAAAACAAAACTCCTCCAAAAGAACATTCTATCTTATAATACTCACTTAATTTCTGTATTCTGCTTTCCATCACTTCTTGATCAAAATGGCATTCTCAAAGTTCACTAACATCTTGCTATCACTATATTGAAACACATTTCCCAAGTTTTTTGTTTCCTTGAACCTTTCTCTTCCTAGTCTAACTTGATAGTACCCTACTTTTGATTCTGTATCATTTCTCTTTCAACTGGTCTCCTAGTGAGAACATCCACATGCTTTAATTCTTCCACCAGGCTCCTTCCAGCCCTTCCAATGAGCCTTCCCCAAGAATCAGTCTTTCTTTTGTTTTTCCCTTTTCATATTCATCTTATAGAATCTATGTCTCGAGATACCTCAATTATCATATGCATGATTAGCATTTCCAACTGACTATAGAACTCCAATCTGGCAACAGAGCACCAGAATGGCACCTCAAGTTCTTGTCTCAAATTTCCTTTTAGAATTGTCATTGTCACTTCTCACTGAATACTGTTAACATTGAACTCACTGTCTTCACTATAAACTCGTCTGTATGAATGGCACTAATTCCTCAAGCACTAGATTTCAAAATCTTGACTGCCTTACTTCTTCCTCATGTCTAATCAATAACATCTGACACACTCTGATTCATTTTTATGCAGTTCCTGCAGCAATCCTTACCGAGTAAGTGTTGACAAAGCAGTTATAAAGAAAATTCACATATGTCTAAACATGTTCTACACTCTGTCAGTTTAGACTCTAACTCCAGCTTTTCCCCTTTCCTCCCTTTGCACTTCTAAAACCTTACTCAATACTGAAGGCTCACCTCAGATAAGAACGCCAAAAAATAGTTTTACTAGATAAAATAAATAAATAAATACTCTGTTCCACCTAAACTACTATAACATTTTGTTTATATATTTAATTTTACACTTATCTGCATATGAGGCAGTCTGATATCTATTCAAGAATTGCTGTATTTCCAAACATAACTTGTGAGTTCTTGGAATGCAGTAGCCTTGTCAACTCAAGTTTCTCTTCATGACTTAGACCTACCGCAGTGCGGTACACAGAGTAAGTGGTTAAAAAGTTACTGTCTTCAATTAAACTAAACTGAGATGGGGTTTGAGTATTGGTAAATTATTAAGAAATCTGTATTCAGATGCAGTCGGCCTGAAATTCCTTTGGATGGCTAAAAGGCTTTAGACATATTACCTAAGGAAATAATAGCAAGATAAGGGATCAATGATCTAAAACATAAATACAGTGTCTTTTCCCCCTCAGTGGGTAATTAAAATTAGATAAGAAGTTATTACCTAATTTGTTTATCTGAAATTTCAACAGTTTTTCTTGTAGTTACTGTTTTTAGTTTTTGGTGTATGTTTTTTGCTTTTTATCTTGACAATTTTTATCTAAGTTGAGGAATCAAAGTGAGACAAAGGTATACATATTGAAAATACTTATTCAGCTAATGAAAAGTCTAAGACAAACTTTGATGTTGATAATGGTATTTCATGCAAGAATGTTCTAATGAATGCAGTTGCTTTTCAGAATCATCTCAGGCTTTCCAATATGATCAAACATTATTTAGCTATATATGCAATATCTGGAATTTAAAATTTTTTCACTCTGAGTTTATGTTTAAATTTAACACAAGCAATATTGTGTTTTTATGATTTTTTTTTCTAATTTATAATGACAGAGTGACAAATTCAAACCCGAAGATACATTATATTCAAATAGGTCATATGGGTTACAAATGTCAAGATTTCATTCTTTTTATGGCTAATATTCCATTGTGTATATGCATTTATTTATGTATACATACACATATATATAATATATATTTTATTATATATATTCACATATATATAATGACATGGATGGAGCTAGAAGATATTATGCTAAGTGAAATGTCTGTAAGGGAAAGACAAATACCATAAGATTTCATTCATAAGTGGAATTTAAGAAACAAAACAAACAAAGGAGGGGGGGAGAGAGAAACAAACTAAGAAACAGACTTGAGAGAGTAAACTGATGGTTACAGGGTGTGGGGGTAAGGGTGAAATGATGGGGATTAAGGAGAACATTTGCTGTGATGAGCACCCACTAGATTTTGAATGGAAGTGTTGAATTATAATACTGTTATCCTGAAATTAATATTATACTATATGATAATTAATTGAAATTTAAATTAAAACTTGAAAAAAACCCAAATGAGTCATATGAGTAAATAATAGTTACTTTAAACAAACATATATAGCACTTTTTGCATATTAAAATGTTTTTGGTGGCAACAATCAGGAACTGTTGAATTTCTTGTGCTCATCTTTAGTTTTTAATTGGTTTGGAACCACAAAGCCTTTACCATACATTCACCATTTCATTCCCAATCTTGCAGCAAATTCTGATTTAAAATATTGCAGGTGTGTACAGAGAGAGCAGGTGTGACAGAGGAAACGGAGAAAGGGAAGTAAGAGTGAAGGAAGGCAAGACATAAATTCTTTTGGACAACTAACTTAATTGGACTGGTTTATATTATTTACTAATCAAGTTTGTAATGGATGAAAATAAAACCATGGCTATTAAAATCTCAACTAAAAACAACTGATTGATTGGTTTTATTTTCACAGGGACCTAAATTAAATAACTACCAGGCAAACTTAATGACAGCACTGGTCCACATCAGTTTTGTAAAACACCTAGGAGAATCTCACATTTCACAATGAATTCTCATGTACAATATTGCATATTCAACTTTCTTTCTTTTTGGCCATATTTTTGGGTAGCAAATAGAAAGTGCAAGCAGGAGAGGTAAAAATGTCCCACCCACTCAATTTTTTATTTGGCTGTCTACAGACAAGTAAACACACAGGCTGCTAGGATATTAAAGATTTTCATCTTTCTTCACAAAATACTCCAGGAGGACAGAGAATTTTCTAAGTGTAAAACTCAGCCCTTATTCTGTCAGGCAAAGTAATTATGGAAGCAAAACAAATCCACATTTTCTAATTAGGTCATTAAAAAGCATAAATGCGTCATGGAAGCTTTTCCCCTTGCCTAAGACATAAAGTAAGACAATGAAAACAATCTGGTAATATAGAAAGGTTCAGAATTTGTTTCTTTTCAAAAATAATAGGTCCTTTCATCTTTCTATTTCCCTAAGACGAAGACAGTTAATTTAGAGACAAAATCTGTAATTAGTTCAGGGTTTACTTTGATTATGTTTCAAAATATTTAACCAAAAACAGGAAGATAGAGAAAGAAAGAAAATACATAGAAAAATTATCAAAGGAAGTGAATAAAAGCAAGAGAGTGGGTTGCTGATCAAAATGTATTGTGCAGAGACAAGATGAATATAAAATCTACATTCATATAAACAGAACCAATCTGGGATACCAGAAAGCTCTCAGGAAGAATATACAGGCATCTGCCTTTGGGATTTGAAACCAGACTTTAATCACAGCTAACTTAAATAAAAACAAATGGCATGATTATTTGCCTCTTCCTCTCTCTACTTGTTATTGCCTGAGTTTTAGAAGACTCAAGCATGGCTCAAACTGTTAAGAAACAAAATGCAAAAAAAAAAAAAAAAAAAAAAAAGGAAAGGAAAACAAACTTACCTGTGATCCTCTTGGCCCTCGTTTCTGGTCCCATTCTGAATGCCCCATGAGCTGTAAATAATATAATAATTATCGTAAATTCAATGATGTTTATTTTATATGGCAAATATTTTTACTCTTTCTTCTAAAGAATTTTTTGAAATCTATGTTTTAATATGAATGTATTAAATAGCTATCATGAATAAATTAACACACAAAGTAATAATAGCTTCTGGTTTGATAGCTAATTATTTCAACTAGTAGTTGTTTTGAAGGTATTTAATATCACTGTGTGATAAAAAGAGTCTGCTAATATACAGCTTTATGGTTCTTTGTCAGGAACATCCTATAGACATGTTAACTACAGTTAAGCTTTTTACATGCCATTAAGCTTCTAATTTAAGAAAATATGCTAAATAAATCATTAGTATAGGTTAATTCACAGTCATGAATGGTAACGATGAGAAGGCCAAAATATTTCAATCATTTTTAGTTCTGTTTTGATAATATCACAAAAATATGTGAGTTCTAAGGAGTCAAATGATTTAATGTGAAATACTCCCCCCAAGGTCACAAAATGTAGATTTTCAGGAAAAAAGACACATTATCAAGCTAGTACATAATTGTCATAGCTCTAAGCTACTTTGCTTACAAAGCATGATATTTATTAGTTGAAAATAACATTTAACTAGAATATACAAGATGTTGACCAAGAGAAATAAAATTCCATTCATCTGTCCAGTACACTTAGTACTCGTATGTCCCGATGGAAGAGCTCCCTATCTCTAATAGGCTAGCATACAAACAAGACAGATTATTCAACTTATTAATATACCTTTCAGCTTTTCTAGACAATAGCAATGACTCCTTAGTACATATAATAAAAAACTGTTCATAAAAGCAACAAAAAAGTAATATGTTTTTCCACATTACCAAGAAATGTTTGATAACCATGCACAGAAAATGGCAGGACCTTACTGATGGCCATACAATGGTCCTGATTAAGAAGACTGAATTCGGGGATGCCTGGGTGGCTCAGCGGTCTAGCGCTGCCCAAGGCCCAGGGTGTGATCCTGGAGACCCAGGATCGGGTCTCATCTCCGGCCTCCTGCATGGAGCCTGCTTCTCTCTCTGCCTCTGTCTCTGCCTCTCTGTGTGTCTCTCATGAATAAATAAATAAAATCTTAAAAAAAAGAAGAAGAAGACTGAATTCAATAAAATTAAGTGTTCAGGTCTATCCACACAAATTTATAGGTTTAACCCAATCTCGATCAAAAGTTATTTATATTCGATTAGGAAACTGAAAAAACCAACTACATAAATTTGATCTGAGAGAATAAACTGATTTATAAGAATCAGAAAATATTAGAAGAGAGTAATACCCTACTCAGTTATTAAAACATGCTGTAAAATTTAACTCAAGTTATGGAACAATGATTTAAGACTCAAAATATACTGGGACACCTGGGTGGCCCAGTGGTTGAGCGTCTGCCTTTGGCTCAGGGCATGATCCCACATCCGGGAATGGAGTCCCATATCAGGCTCCCTGGGAGGAACCTGCTTCTCTCTCTGCCTATATCTCTGCCTCTCTCTCATGAATAAATAAATAAATCTTAAAATATATATGTATTATATATAATATATAAATAAGTGAAATGTAGTGGACAGTTGTGAAAAGAACTCAAGTACATACAGCAACAAAATAGTAAAAAGAAAGTATAAAAATCAATGAGTATCTGATGAATTAGTCCACAAGTGGAGGGAAAAAAAAAAATAGAGTCTTCAGAAAAAAATTAGAGCTGAATCTTCTAAGACACACAAATATAAATAAATTCTAGACAGATAAAAAGATGAAATGGTAAGTATAAAATCCAAATATTTAGACTATTTTCAAATATAGAAAAGATTTCCTTTTTTTTTTTATTTATGATAGTCTCACACACACACACACAGAGAGAGAGAGAGAGAGGGAGAGAGAGAGAGGCAGATACATAGGCAGAGGGAGAAGTAGGCTCCATGCACCGGGAGCCCGACGTGGGATTCGATCCCAGGTCTCCAGGATCGCGCCCTGGGCCAAAGGCAGGCGCTAAACCGCTGCAACACCCAGGGATCCCTAGAAAAGATTTTCCAAACTAAACAACACACACACACAGAGGATTATGATCCAGCTACGTAAAACTTCAATGTCCATACAAATGTCACACTAGCAAAATATTTCCATGAAATTGCAGGTAAAAACTAGTATCTTCAGTACTCTAAGAGCGCTACAAATTTGAAAGTAGGGCACCTGGGTGGCTCAGTGGGTTAAGCATCTGCCTTCAGCTCAGGTCATGATCCCAGGATCCTGGGATGGACTCCAGATTCAGGCTCCTTGCTCAGCAGGGAGTCTGCTTCTCCCTCTCCCTTCAGCCCCTCTCTACCACTTGTGCTCTCTCAAATAAAGAAACAAAATACTTTTAAAAAAAGAGGTGAAAAGAATGCAACCCTAGTAAATAATCAGAGTAAAGGATAAAGACAGTTTACAAAATTAACATCAATAATCAATATTGGGCAAATGTTTTATTTGAAGTGAAAAAAATTAAACATAAACAATAACAAGACATGATTCTTGCCTATTAGCAATCTGATCATGTTGAATATTTGGTAGAATTTAGAGAACTAAGTATGCATATATATTGCTAGTATGTAGTGTATAGATATATACACACATATATAATTACACACATAAATACACAGACATGTATACAATATATAATCAATTTTAATACATACTGCATACTCTTAAAAATTCATACCCTTTGAACTAGAAAATGTAAAAATTCAATAATTACGTGTCAATCACTGTGTTATCCAACAAAAAGGGAACTATGCTAAATTAGAATACAAAAAGAATATAATATAGCATTTTGACTTTGGCTTTCAAGGCCTTTTTACAAAATTACACATGAAATGCTCATGGTATAGTAAGTGAAAAATATAACAAAGCAATTTTAAATTACTCATTTTTAATAAGATGATCAATTATTATAAGCCTTGGAATCGGTGAAATGATTTAATTATAATTTGGCTAGCATACAACTTTGGGTAAATTAGCCCTGATAATCATCATATAAAATTTAATGCTTAGATAGTTGGTATTTCTTTAATGCTTTATTTTTTTTAAATTTCTGCATTTAATGGCATTACATCTGCTAGTAAATATTCATTAATACTTATTTAAAGTTGATTATATAAAAGTTAAAACACTAATCAACTAATGAAATAGTCCGATTTAGAGACATATAAATTAAGACCATTTAATGGTTTAAATTGGTTGTTCGCTAGAATTATCAAAAATCATCTTGACATTTTTCAATCACCTGTCTTATTTAGACCTTAGGAATACTTTTTGTCAATAATAGGAAGAGAAAGAAAATAACAGTAAGATGGGGTGCTTATTTGTTCTGTTTGTTTAAACAGATGATAAGCTTGAATAGGATGCTGTTAGAGTAAAATAATTTTTAAGCAGAAGGGTTATCTTCTCTCCCTCATTGTTGTATCTAAATCTTCAGAAAATAATAATTTATACAAGACTGTTATGACTATTACTCTCTTACTAATGAGTTTCAACTAATGGAATAACTTAGTAAATTCTACTATTATGAGTACAGCAGTAAAAACAGGTAAATAAACCATAAACAAGATTTATAATCCACAATATATTGACTTGGAATATTTGATAATGACAGGTAGTGAGTCAAAAAGATAACATTTCTCCAAGATCAGAACTAAAATAAGAAAAGCACACATTTCACTGTCTTTTACCATTAACAATGTTAAAAAAAAAAAAAGAGGATTTCTAGTATGAGAACAAAAACTTTCAAAATGTAGATTCATTTGGGGGATCACTTAGTACAGAACAAGAAGATAAACCTGATCATTATAAGCCAGAACTTACAAACCTCTAAAAGTTCACTCTCTAAATCTGATTTTTTGAAACATAACATAGCAAAATTTGCCAAATGTGTTACATATAAATCAGAGAGATTTATTTCCTGGCATTATACAATAGACTAATGAGAGTAATTTAGGATAAAGGCATTCTATTTTATTCTATTATTATATATTTATATTATATATTAATATCATTATTATACTTACAAGTCTGAGTGACCAGCCATGTGTTAATATTTCAAAATGTATTTTTAAACACCATTACTACTTTTTTCAAAGTAATGAAATTATTGAAATCTACATGCTATGTGAAATAAAATCCAAAAAGCAATAAACTCTGAAATGATAAGCAAGATACCATAATGTTCTATATTCAATAGAAAGAGAGTCAAAGGAAATTCAACAAGATTTTTTTCCCTTTGAACTCGAGGAAATCATACAAAGGCTCTGTTTTTAAATAAAATGATATGAAAATAAATAATCTGAATAAAAATTTAACATTAATAATTTTAGTGTTGAATATATGGGGTTTGTTATAATATTCTCCATAATTTGTTTTTTAAGGGCAGAAAAAGAGATGGTGGGGGCTGCTGGACAGTTTCAGGGCTCCACTCTCTCTGTGATTATTGCGTACCTGGCACAGATGGGGGTGAGATAGGGAGTAGGGAAGTTGAGCACAGGATAGCACATGAATTTTTATCTTATTTGCACATAGAATTTATCTTACTGTCATAATAGCACTGTCCTTAGATCACGGACCAAAGACTAAAATAACCACAATGTTTTCACTATCCTTTTAAAAACATCATCCATCGTGTGATAAATTGCCTGACTTACTTAATACTATAGAGTGCTTAAATTAAAATGAAGCATTTGGCCACAGGTAAGTATTCGTGTTAAAGCAGAACCACAGGGCTAAATGTTTTAGGAAGTACATAGACACCTCACTAGCCCCACTCTCCTGACTAATGATTATGACAAAAAAAATTGCTTAGTCATAATAAATAATGAAAAGGACACTTGTACAATGAAGTCAGTGAATTTCAGAATTTCAAACTGATGTTGATGAGATACCAATGAGAAAGTCAAAACATCCTATGAATCAAGCAGGTAGGATTAGTATAAAGTTACAGATGACA